AAGGCTAGTAAGCTATTTGCATCGCAAAGTTTTAATTGAACCGATAAAATTGTTTTCATCCAACAATATTACAGCATCTGTTTCCGAAATAATTTGTCGTTAATTTGTATAATCGTCTTTTGTGGGACTGTCATTTTCATGAAATAATTAATCGTTCGTCTAATCTTTTGTACTTTGGATTTTATGTTATCTAATTTGACTTTCTAAGTACAGAATAATTATTTATTTTGAAAAAGACGTTATGGAATTAGTTCAGGGGTCCGGCGTAAATATACATATAGATAATATACGATATGTAATATTAACTTTTAATTAAATCGAAGTTAATTGTTTATTGGGAAACAACTTTCATTTTATTAACATTGATCGAATCTCTTTAAAGGTTTAAATATATGTAGATATTTAATTGATGATAATAAAACTAAATACGTACCCTATGTACATAGGTTAGCAACAGGGTCGTGATTGATAATATTGGTTTAATAAATATGTACGAAGTTAAATAAGTCAAAATGTTCATGTCGGACAATTCAATCAAGACGACCTTTTTCATGGAGTCCTCGAACAGAGAGATGTAAATTGTTTGTTGTTTCTAAAGCACACGACTCAGGCCCGGTGGAATACGTTATCCCTCTTGCAACCCGCCTGTCTGCGACATGTTTCATTATTAAGATATTGTTTTGGGAATTATACCAATACGTATTACATATACCTATATATTCTTAGAAACCTGGACCTGCCTATTTTCAGTAAGATTCCATTACTGTATTTATATCACATAGTGATTCTGATAGTTATTTAATACATTTGCTTATTTATCTATTATTTCTTTATAATTAATTATAATAAAAAATAACTGAATATTATATGTAAACATAATTAAAAAAGTTCATCTCATTATTTTTATTCAAATAAATCTATAATCACTTTTGAATTGTATTGTGTAAAATTCGTACAATGTAGACATTTTGTGGCCTCTTCAGAATGAATATTTTTCATTACCTACGGAGGCATTGAACAACTCCTAATGGAACTTACAGGTCTGTTTTTGATAACAATCATTAATGTGCCCCAGTCAGATAATCAAAGATGGGCTCGCTAATGAACGTCATTATCCGATATCTGTGCAGATGAGTAATGCAAAGATGGTTGGCGGGCAGCGGGCCGCGGAAATTGCCAATTAATGTGTCGGCTCGCTCGACTCCTCCCCATATCATCACCGTTCTTAGGCGCGGAATACATTGTACATGAGGTAAGTTTACATTTTATACGAGCTGTTCCCGCGACTTCGTTTGCGTGGAATATAATATTATTTTTCTAAAATAAATATATATTCATATGCATGTAGTAAAAAACGGTTATTTCAATATTACAAACAGACACTCCAATTTAATGTATATGTATAGATTTGTAACATGTGGACATGTTGACTGTTTTTCTAATGAAATATGGCTGCTTTCACCTACATACATGAACTGCACGAGGGAGATCTAGTTGTCATGTGAAATGCCTGGTACGTAACATGTATTACCATATATACCTATAACCATTCCGGGGAACTAAACTGTTATGCTTTCATACCTAGTAATGTATACTGCAATAATTTACTATTTCTACAATAATGTTAGTTATTAGTCACGTACGCTACATTACAAAGCAGGCTGTTTGTCGAGATATTGTTCTTAGTTTATTGGTGACTGCTATAAAGAAATGCGTTAGCCAAGTGGGCCACATGTCGAAATGGGCTATATCAAAAGACCCCATAACCAACAAGCTTTATATAAGTATGAATAAGTTGATAAATACGCAGGAAGCAAAATGTTAGCTCTGTTTGAACAAGAGCATTTCGCAGTCTTTTGTTTCTATCCACACCAATAGAAGACTAGCGTGATGTAGGTACATGTGTAATGCATGAATTATTTAATTTTATGTATCAAGTGATTAACTTCTTTGAAACGAATGTAAGCTTTTTATTTTTCATTAGGCACATTTATTAAATGCATATGTAACGAGCACTAGCGTTTGACTTTAAACTCGACAAAAAGCTAGTGGTCTATCTTTTATTGGGTATTTCAGTAATTGTTTTTTAATTACATATTAATTCAATGGCGACGTGGTCAGATTATATATTAGGCGCCATTAGTCATAATACTGTGAGTAGAAGGCCTTACTGATATTTAGGCATACCTTTCTCGGATGTATATTTATTCCGTTCCTATCTCCTCTGAATACATTATTCTTATTTGTAAATAATTACTCTCTTCTAACGCTCCAGGGAGAAAGATCATGACTTGTTTTTGCGGTACTTGTAATTAATTATTCTCATACAGTGACTCACAAAAATGCCCCAATGTTTGACCATTTCGCATTCCATCGCCTGTTATGATGTGAGGATACAATTAATAAACCTGAACTGCTAGTATGTGATAGCCCTGCTTCTTGGCTTTCGAATAAGCCGCCACTGATGAATTACTATTGGCTGGCTATGAACTTATGCCACTGTGAAATATAAAAACTATTGGGGCATTTTTGACCGTTTAGGACAATCTCGCGATATATGTGATATTCCGTTCGATCTACCTATCCACTGAAGATAAAAACACTCGAATAGCTAACTGGAAATATATCTACTTCCTCCCTCTCTCATCCAATACTTTTCATACAACTTGCTGACCATGATGCCTATTTCTCCTGCCCTCAAATCCGAAGTTATCAAGCGAATTAACGAAGGCGTATCCACCCGTAGGGTGGCCCAAGAACTTTCCGTGAGTAAGTCTACTGTTGCTAGGATACGAAAGGAACATGTTGCCCCACCCTCAAAAGGGCGCCCAAGGAAGTTATCAGAGTCCAGTGCCCGGTATGTGGTGAGGCTTATCAGTTCGGGGGCCATGGATACTGCCGTAGAGGTCCAACGACACCTTACCAATGCCATGGACGTCTCCACAAGTGCCGAAACTATACGTCGGACACTCAAGAAGGCCAAGCTTCGATCTGATAACATCTGTGAACTCGGTGCTCTATCAAGGCATCCTTAAAGAGGAACTTCTCCAGACCATTGAATGGTATGGCTTTGAAAAGTCACGCGTCATCTTTCAGCACGATAATGACCCAAAGCATACAGCTTTGGCGACCCGAAAATGTCTCCGAGACCTGCGTCTAAAGGTTCTGGCATGGCCTCCGCAATCTCCTGACATGAATCCAATCGAGCATATGTGGCAGAAGGTCAAGATTCGTCTTGCAATTGACCCAAGACGACCGAAAAACAAAGACCAGATGTGGGCTAAGTTTCAGAGAATCTGGAATGAGGTAAGCAAGGAAGATTGCAGTAGACTGATCGACAGTATGCCAGAGAGAGTGCAGGCGCTTCTCCGAGCTCGTGGGGGACATACAAAAGACTGAAATGAGGAAATAAAATGAGATGTTGTGAAATTTGATCAAACGGTCAAAAATGCCCCAATGCGTTTTTAACTTTGTAATCATTGTAATGTCATAACTAGTTTAGTAATAATCATGCAACTTATATTGTTTAATAGCTCAATGGGAGCACTATTACATACTAAAGTATCAGTTGTGCATCTATTGAATTTATTGAGTTTGACTACTTTTTGTGTCGAGCTACACATCATTGGGGCATTTTTGTGAGTCACTGTATGTACTCCATAGCAATCAAGTCAAGTTTAACGATTCAAGCTCTACTTCTGCCATAGTATTTGCCATATGCACAATAACAAGAGACGGACTATTGTAATATCCTAATTGCTGATATTGTATTATGTGAACGTCATAAAATGTGTAATAATATCTAAATTAAATAAAAATTTTAAAATTTTAAACAGTAATAATTTCATATATTTTTAACGTTATGTATGTGTAATAACACGATTCTAAAAGTACCTAACTACTACTAGCTGCCTAAAGTCTACTGCAGTAAAATTAGATATTAATTTAAAAGATACTGTAAAGATTGTTTTGTAAAATAATTCTGGAAAACTCTTAAGGAATATATTATTTATCTATATACAATCTTATTTCTTACTTAAACTAATCAATAATTACAATAGACAGTCACTTGCTCATAGTTATATAAAATTTGGATAACAAAACTTTGTATATTAGTTTATATAGAATTTCCTTTTAGTTATTTTTTATTCTACTTAGTGAATTAGTAGTAGTTTATTCTTTTAGCATATACTCACAAGATTTATAAACTTACACTTGGTTACGCTACAACTTAGTTGTTTGATTGTTTTGATTAGGCTTGCTTTCGGTATAGTAGCTCCAACGATATTTAACTGTATTATAACTTTCATAGTCAATTATTAAAGCAGACAGAACCTTAATAATACACAATAAGGATATGAGTATAGAAATAAAAAGGGAATTTTATTATCAGTGTTATATAAATAAAGAAAATAAAAATATGCATAAAAATCTTAGTGTTACTTATTATCAAAATGTCTTTATATACTGTTTGGCTTATGCATTATTTATATTATTATGTGATTTATGTTGTCAGAAATCCAAATAGGTACTTGGATTTATTATTGTCTCTGTATTTGGTATTGCTGAACAGTTTAAATCCCATTTAGGCGATTTATATGCGTATACAGAACAATGTTAAGGAATTGTATTAAACACAAAGCAACAGAAACAATAATCTACATAATCAGCAGGTAATCCAGTGACTGACAACAGTTTGGTATTAACATTATATCCATTGCCTCTTTCTGTAATATAACATCTCAATAATGGTAGTCGTTACAATACAACGTAGTTATATTGGCTGCTAAATATGTAATCACATGTGTGGAAGCGGCAATATAAATGATACACCATAAATTAATAATATTCGGCGAGATATAGGGGAGACTGCGTGCAGCTACCAGACTGGGCAGGGTATTGCGCGAATCTCTCGGGCCCGAGCTACGGCAGTCAGCTACGTACCGTAGTGGCGGTGGCTACGACGTAGCGGCAACGCTACGAGTTTGAACGCGCTTCAATAAACACGTGTATCTAAGGCCTTATACTGAATCAAAATACAAAGGAAATATACTTTTGTCGTTAAGTACATAAACTGGTAGTGTATAACGGTTTTCCATTTATTTAATTTATTATTGTTAATATTAAAAAAAAGAATATAAAAATACTTTTCATTGAAATTTTGCATGGAAATGTAGGTATGTTTAAATTTAACATATACCTTTTGTGAATTTGTCTTTATATATATTTATGTAGATTTCAAACTCTTTATTATAAAAACATATATTTATTGTATTTTTCATAATTTATTACATATTGGTACGTAACAGACAATTATTATCTTAAAAATATATAGTATCTATCTAGTTTAAATTTTATATATCATTTAACAATTTGAAGAAAAATATATTAAAGTTAATAAAAAGGGATATATTCCTAATTTAAATTCTATAGACAGTAAATCATATTGCTTGGACCTCAAGCAATAAATAACTATCTGATACATTAAATGTTTCTGTACAGCTTTCATTGTCAAATAAATCCCAATAGAACCTTCACTACAAGTTTATGGTTAATTCTATGTAATAAAGTGTACTTTAACAGTGTGGTTGTATATACATAAACTAAAAACAATGTTTACTCCTCTATGGTTTGTGAGCATAATGGCGCTCTTAGTAGTGAATGTGAGGACTGGTTCTTTACAACAAAAAGGTAAGACTTTTTAGTTCTTTTTATTATGTTAATTTTGAAAGCGAATTTTTCAATTTCAATTATGTTTCGTTTAACTACTATTTTATATACAAGTTAATACAATAATGTTACGAAGCCGACTTTCTTAAAAGTCGTCTGTATGTGTACCTCTATTTCATACTTCGCAGAGCAGCTTGCTGTGCTGTGTTTCGGTTAATAATCTTACAAAACAGCATAATACCTGAACCCACAAGAATGATGATCAAGGAAATTTATCTTCAGTGTTGTGGCAATACGTGTGTTATTCATGCTTAAGGCTTAGTTTAATTAAGTTTTGAATTTAAAAATCAGCCTGTGAAGTAAATATATTTGTTGTCATATGTTTACTTCACAGGCTGATTTTTAAATTCAAAACTCTCTCGTCTGGAATACTTCCTGAATTTTCTCAATTTCTGTTGGTATTTATTGCGCCTATAAATTGCAAAAACAAATATGATTCAAATTTTATTCCACTCACCAATATTGTCTAAATATATATTTTCTCAAATTCTTATATACGATATAATAGTAGTATAAATACAGCTGTTTCAATTGTAGTATGAATTAAAAATATACGCAAACTTAGAATAGTATCTATTTACTTAGGATTAGACTAGTAGGACTACAGATGACTAAAAATTACAGCCATTTTAGCCTATACACGTATTGAAAAGTTGTATACAAGCAGAATTATTGCTATTATGTAACCTGCATATAACAATAATTCTGAAACTATTAAGATCACTCTTACTCACTTATACGAAAAAGGGAATGAAAGATAAAGAAAAGTTAAAATAATTTATGTAAAAAACATTTTATATAATAAGTATTTAAAAATATGCAGTAATTATATTTTCATCTTTTTTACTAATATCTACTGATATCAAGATTGAACTAATGCTTACTGTACCGGTGCCAGAGCCGGTAGCGATTTGAAGTTTTGAAATTATACGATTCCTTATTCATAAATGTTAAATGTTAGCCGATATAATAACAGCGAATATAAATTTTGTTACTGATTTTGAATTACTTAATTTAAAGGAATATGTTAAATACCCGTTATAGCATATTTGATAAGACTTTTTATCTTAATAACTACAATCAATCTTAATACAAGTTAATATATGTATGTTGAATATATGCAACAACAGCAATACGGATATCAAGTTATTATGTGACGCCTATAATACCACTCTTACGTTGCAATTCCTGAGAACTACATAAAATATGCCATAGTAATTTTACTGCGTCACCCTTCAAAATATCCTTCAAACCTGAAATGGGCAAGACACAGGTACCCACGCAGACAACAATAGTTGTTTTACTCAGTAAGACATCGTATTAAACTTAAATTCAATGTAAAAATAGACTATACAAAACAACTTTGAGAATGTAAAGAATAAATAATGTAACATTTTTTTTCTACTTTTCCACCAATTGTGAAGGTACAAATAAACAAACATTACCTACATAAGTATTAAGTAGCCAGGCCCCGAATTGTGGCAGGCGTAGAGTTGGGGCCGAGTTATGTAAACTCGTTAAAATTTCACGCCAACGATGTTCAAACAGTAATTGTCGCATTCGTTGCTGTATAACTTTTGTTATGTCACTTTTAGTTATTAATACACTTGAGATAATATGATGTGATAATTGAATAAACTTGTATTATTACCTATACACCTAAATAACAAGTGAGTACATGGAGCTATTGCTTAGACTCTTTAGTAGAAAAATAGTTTTTACTAGAAGCTAGAAGCGGAACAAAAATGGCAACTATTTTTTATAGCATAATAGCATTTATAGCACAAACGAGTGTATGACTCATCTGATGGTATGTGATTACAATCGCCCATGACCGCAACACCAGGAGAATGGCAAATGCGTTGCGGGTCTTCAATAATGTATTGGTTCAGAAATACCATAAAAAGACATTTCACTATATGGTTATGAGTGGCAACAAGTTACTGGAAAACGCAGTGTAGAAAACCGCCATTCATCTAGATGGCATTTAGCAAAGTCATCTCGTCTGTAGAAAGTCTATCCCGTAGATGACCTCTATATTACAAATATCGGCCACCAAACAGCTTGATTTGTAAGATGTCGTGAATGGAGGGGAAGATATGGTAGTATAATTATAGTGTATCCTCCGTCCACTACCGTACTCATGAAATCTTAGTCTTCAGGAACAGCATAAGTGGCAACCATTCCAGACAACGGACATCATGTCTTCGATGGTGTCCCAAGTACTCGAAAGGGTACTTGGGGCATTCATATATGCAAATAATGTATTAATACGTACAAATGAACAGTTAGCTTAGATTACAACTCCGTATATAAAAAAAATAATAAGCGGCGCCGAAAGAACAGGTCTCACGGAAAAATTTAAAAATACGTTTATTTTAACAAAATGATATTAAAAATATGCAAATTGTTCTTACATTCCCGCTGTATGAATAATAAGATTTCTTTGATTTTTCCTTATTTTTTGCGTTTATATTGAAACTGACTTTCAATTTTATAAGATGCTTTTATAAACGGGCACTTATATAGATTGATATCTTCTGACTATCATAAGTTATTAATAACACAATTAATACTTCTAAACAGTTTCCTTTAAATATTTTCCTATATAAATATTTAAACAGGCTATATGTTTTCAAATATCGAGTATATTTGAAGACATATAGCCTTTATACTCATATTGATTTTTATAATAAGAACGCAAACATATTTTTATTCCCTTTTTAAAACTAATAAACTTTATTATTGTACATGTGTAATTGCGAGTGAATTAATATTTGTTATTTGCAATGGGATTGATATGCATTTATTCATCATATCACATTAAAAAAATACTATTAAAAAGGGCTTGTATGAAGTGTATTTAAATGAATATTATTTCTTTATCTCTGTTTATTTACCGATTTAATGTATTTTTACACATAATAGCAACAATTATTACAATTCAACTTCACTGGAATTCATTGATATGGGTCATATTTGGTTGGTTAGAAGGAAAAATGTATATGTATTGGCATAATCAGTTAAAACAAAACAATGAATGTTATATTTATCAGAAAATAGAAAAATACACTTTACAGTACCATAAAAAGTATATATCTATATATTATAAAGGATTTAGTGGTAGCAAATAATAGTTTTTACAATGCAATCTTCCATATATTTCTCCGTCTCTCTTCTATTGTTTTACGTTTTGCTTTCTTATTTTGTTTTTACCGCATACTTTATCTCTCTTTCGCACACACTGTTGTGTTGTGTTTCCCTTTCACGCAACGTTCCACTTCAAGCATTAATCTATCCAATCCCACAATTATTCATAACTCGCTAATTAAATGAAACTGCACATCTAATTTTCCTCGAAAATCACTCTGTTAATGTATTTATTATCTATTATATATGATAAACGCGAACATAGAAAAAGTCACGGTGGGGAACTTGGTTTTATAATATATATAATATATACACATTTTAAATTGGCATTCTGATATTCAGGTAAATAATAAAAAGGATGTTGCTCTATATTTTCATGTTGTTCAATTTGTCCTTTATATAATCATCATTGTCGTAAGAAAATTTCTAATATTTATCATTCTGGTATTTATTTCAGCAAGCTATCACTTATTAATAGATTGTCTGGTATAATGTGACTTTCTAATACAACAGACATTCAGCGGAGCGTAGTAGCACGACTCCAACGTGACGTTCGTAGTTACTGTAAAACTACATGCACAACATTCCCGATCGACCTGTGTGATGTTGCCAGCGTCCCACTATTGTCTCTCCTTGTCACTCACAATGTGGCGAAGTCTGGGATAGTAAATTTATCTTCATTTCCGCATTTAACCGTTGTGTCTACTAGAGATTACAGCTAACATGAACTACAAATAAAGGATATTAATTCAACGCATTAATGTTAAATGTATATTATTAATTAATTGTGTTAACGTATATTAAAATAAACAGTAGGTTATCTAAATCGCTCGATAGTGCAGCTAGGTATATAATAATAGTTTATTTTTACAATGTGTTAGAGAAAAATCGCCAGTAATGAATATCTATATCCAAATTTCAAATTTAAATAAGTGGCAATTTATTAATAAGAGAAACTTATATTAAAGTCAGTGATTAATAATGAGTCGATAACTCTATTCTTATTGGAAGTTTTGAAATATATATAAGTGCTATTATTATTTCTACAATTAGACATCGAATAATTGATAGTGTATTAAATAAACATAGTTACGTCTATGTATCTCTTTGCTAAGTATAGTAAATTAAATACATTCAAAATTTCAAATCACTATTAAATTTTCAACTTTCTTTAGTGTATTTTTGTTAGCGACAACAATTAATTGAACCTACTATAAAAACAGCTATTAATAATAAACTGGTTATTATTAAAATTATGTCAACATACTTGTTTAGGAAGATCAATTATCCATATCTTAATAACTGGAAAATAAAGATAAATATAGTACAATAATTAAAATCACATTAAAAATAGAATTAAATAAGTGCCGGATCTATTATTATATTTTACTAGCTATATAGCCTATGTGTTATGCTTTATAGCCTGTGTGTGAAATTTCATATATCAGAATATATGAAATATTACAATAATGTAATTTACATTACTGTAAAATTTAAAATTTACATTTTACATTACTGTAATATTAAAATCCTGGGACTCCAAACTACTTATTTATTTCTTTATATTATCTTTTTATTAAGTAAATACCTACCATAATCAAATGTATAAAGAACTTGCTTGTCTTCAGAACGTAATTGGTCTGTAGATGGTTAAGTGATAGTTAAAACTGTTCGACATTGCCGTTGTAATTATTCGGGAAAAAAATGTATACAGTCCCCCATATATTTTAGGTAAATAGATTAGATTATTTACAAGTAAAAGAGTTGGATCAACATTTTGATTGTCTGCAGACAGTGTTAACAATAGCATATTACGAAAGCGGTATCGCTTATAAATATACAAAATGGTGCCAACATTTTCTCAGGAAAGATATTTCAGATTACGTTCTTCAAAGAAAAATAACCTTTTAGTCTGTTTGCCTCATATTCAGAAAAGTTTAATTTTTAATCAAAGATCGAATACGAAATATAATAAGAGAAAAAGCGAAATGAAAATATAATTCGAACGTTTGAAAATAAGCAATATATAATATAAAACATGAGGGTATTCTATAAAACATCAAAAGATTTGAAAGCCTCTGAAGACCGACCAATGTAATAACGAAGTACGCTATTATCTTACATGACTACCTATTAGAGTAGTTGGGACTTGGAAGGCTGCGGAGTTAGAACAGTGTTTGTATACACCCAACTTCGCAAACAGAAACTTATTTGTTGTGATGAGTAGCAGTGTCAAGGGTCGTCCCAGTTGCTGAGTTATTGTACAACTGTCTTAAAGCAATTACTTAGCAAGTATACAACGATATATCATATTTATTAACTGCTTGGATAGTTATGAGCGATTAAGTGAGTAAATGGGGAATATCAATGGGTTCTTAGAAATACTCGAAACTTTATCAGTATCGAGTCCATGCTCAAGAATAAACCATCATGTTCTTATACAAAATATCACGTTTCGGATAAAATGTTTAGCAAAAGGTTTATGAAATGTGAAGTAAAATATGAAATTTGATTTCTGTTATGTAAAAATACGAAAATTATTATTATTTTTTAATTATGGTAATATTTATTGTAAGACTTTAAGCGTAGCACTGATCATTAGATTTTATTGTGCTAACTATTTATATAATATATAAGTTACATGTAATATGTAATGTATCACTTTCTTGTTTGCAGATAAGAAACCTCAACAGTGCTACTACTGCTCGCCCACCAACAACACATGCGATCATCTTTCATCTTTACAGATTTACAATTGTCCAGAAAATCGACCATACTGCGCCACCACTGCCGTCGCACCCAGTTAGTATTTATACCGTCGTATTGATTATATAATCAAACATACTAAAGAGACCTGATATAGCAGATGAAGTTATCTGTTTATTGTTTTTTATTGTCCTAGAAAGTTATAGCTATAATATAAGACACCATAGAAATAACATTATTCTAAGTGTTACGTATTTCCGACAATAAATTATTCTAAGAAATAATACATTAACATAATTAAATGAAGTATCAGTCCTAACGTCTACGTATAATATGTCAGGTCAGGATCAATGTTAATAAATATAACTGATATAAATTATAGAATTATGATTTTTATAGGAATAAAAATATTTTCCTTGTTCACCTATGTATTATAAAATAAGGACACCCTGACTTCTTAGACTTATAATTTCTTTATTTATGCCATTCACTACAAACCATACGTAATTTCATTTCGCTCGAATAAATACATGTAAATATTTACTCGAGCGAAAATAAAACTCAACTTATCGTAGGCGTTGTTAAAAACCTTGTGTTATTAGACAACTACCATATCTTAACAACTATATTAAACTTCCAGTGTATTTATTATTTCGTTATTTTCACAGATTTTACATCGTCACTTCAATGTGCTTCTCCAGCGGAGATACCGTGTAAGTTAACGTATTCGACGCAAGGACACGAATTGCAATGCATTTGCACTGGACATCTGTGCAACGCACCATTTTCGTTAACATTATTAAATACATTACGTAATTTTACTTCTTCGAGTGTACACGAGAATAAAAGTGCTGATCTTACAGATAGCTTCTTTAAAAGGTATAATGTCACTAATGTTACTGATAAAAAAATATATAAAATGTTAACAATGGATCTGTCTGAAGAGACTGAAATAACGGAACGTACTTCCCAAAATATATCTCAGTTAACGACTGTTAGTGCTGTAACGACTATGAACATTGATTTAAAAAACGAAATAGACATTCCTCAAGCTGCGGCTCGGAAGCAGGAAGCGGCAGCGCCTTCCGATGATGATGAAGACGAGAGTGAAGGTAGCGGGTCCTATGATGAATCGAAATCCCAAAGACATCCACCATCGGCACCCGCAGCACCTAGCTCGTTTTTGCCAGCTAAAGACAGTAATAAATCGCCACCTCTTTACTGTAACCTATATCTAACATCATCATTTTTTGTTTTCTTTATAATTAGATTTTAAGTTAAAATAGGATAGGTATAAAGTATTTATAACTATTACTGCAAGTAGCTTAAATGGAGAAAGTTAATTGTCAGGGTTTCTACGATCAAATCCGGCATATACGAATATTTGAAATTGGGTCATTATATTTATCACTTCCTTCATGCTTGGGAGGGCTCGTAAAACGGCTGTCCTCCATGTAAGAAACAGAGGACGCTCCACTCTGATAAAGTAGTAATAGTAGAGTATAGCACATTATATATTAAGTATAATAATTAAAACGAACAATTTATAATTAGGATTTAAAGTAGGACTGTCAGAGAATTTAAATCAATAAAATTGGTAGTGTTTACCTTTTGGGAACAAATATGTACATTTTGTTATTCCATCTAATTAAATAATATAAGAAATGATAATAAGCATATGTATAAGTAACGCTGAGTATAAAATTAGATTCGCTTGGTTTCTTTGGTTATTATTAGTAGTAATCTAGAATTAAATTAGTTTGGTTAGAAATTCATTATCGTACGCAAAGATGAAGGTGTGAATACATATATACCTAATTAATCTTGAAATAAAAAGCTAAATCTTAATATGTGAAATATTATTCCATAAATATATTATTTCAAGTATAAAAGTTATATTATTTGTCTTTTTTTTACTACTCGATAATTTTTTTTTTATTTATATATACATTTAGATATATTATATAAAAGTGTGATACTGAAATTACGTGCCAAATGTGTCGTTTTAAATTCAAATGTAATATCAACACCCAAAACATTATATAGAAATCTGTATCCATACTTTTACATATATCATTGACATTCAACATAATTGTATTGTAAAAACAAATGAAGTGTGTATGTTAATATTGTAAGTAAATAAAATATTAATATTAAATTGGAAAATATTATTGGTTTTAATAACGCATATTATTTTATATTCGAAAAATATGCTGACTACTGTCGTTACTCTTTGTATATATTTACATATTTGAATAAGTACAATAAAGTCTACGGCATCGAATATTAATTTCATATAAATTACTATAGCACTTTTTTTAATGTTATGTTAAAGATAAGAATGAAATAAAATTCTGTAGTTCTTCAGTATTCTTCAGTAGCTAATTATATGTAAAATTTATTGCAAAATAAAATTATTTTAATAAAGTCCTTGGGGTTAAATTAATATGAAGAACAGCTGTAGGTACATCATTTGGTCACACCCTTAAATTATAACGTTACGCTACTTAACAGTTGATTGTATCTTATCCTAATTAAGTCAAGTTAATTATATATATTTTTTCGTATATTCTATATATTTTCAGTAGTATATAATATTGTGCATAAATTCAAGTTATTTAGGAAACATTCATTAATATGCACGAATTGTCATCATATTGATCTTTTAGATATAGTGTCAATTATGTCATTTCTAGGTTATCCCATAACTCGATTTGTATAGGATATACGTAGTTTAAGAAAAGTTGTTGTCATTTATGAAATAAAATAAAATAATCTTAACAGTATAGTTTTATTTAAACAAAGCTTTGTTATATAGGTGTATATATTATGTGTTTACATAATATCATACAGTCTATCATAATATTTGATCACTATTAATATGAGCGACATTCATAGTTGACATACTAAATATTGTTTTGCATATAGGTAGGTATAGCAAAATTTACTTATCTCTATCCTTTATAATATTGAAAATATAAAAGATAAGTAAGGCGACTTTAGTTGGTTTGAATAAAACTAAGTTTTAAAAATGAAAACTAGACACATTCTATTCAGGTATTTATTATAATTTTGAGATATTGATGTTGAAGTAAGTATTGTATGGGCATAATTATTTCTTAGATTTAAATAATTAAAATAATAAGGAAATCCTAAACATTAATTGGGACATTACTGTATTACTAATAATATTGTAATGTATAAATATTTAGGATTTCCTCAGTTTAGACAAGTATTATGTGGTGATAAAATCGGATTGCTTAAGTAATTTTATTCGTTTCTGAAATAATTTTCTATAAACGATGCTAATCAAGAAATATTCTTCTATCGTAACAATAGATAATATAATAAGTAGAAAATGACGAAAATATTTCTCCTGAAAAATACAATACGCTTTTCGGAATCCTGAAAATACCTATTGTGTAACAACTTAGTAAATTTTAAAGTAGACTAAAAATAAATACGAAAATATAGATGTCGTGTTGAATGTAAACATTATCTCAATATTGTTTCTAAAATAATGTCAACATTCTTTATTAACTACCTTTATTTATTGTTTTAGGAATACAATAAAAGAGCAAAAAATCAAGAGAATAATTTGATTTGTTGCTGACTTCGGAGTCGATCCGCCACCAAAACCTTTTACAGACACGTTTTATAACAAAAGCTTCGCGGCTTAAATTCCTAACTTCATAAAGAATTTCCTTTAGAATGAAAGCAGTGTAATGTTATTCCGATCGTTACTTTATTGTAGTCGTTTACTTCCACAAAGGTATGGTAGTGCCTTCGTTAATATTGTTTGCCTTCCTTTGGTTATTACGGGTAATTGTTACATATATTTTTTTGTTGGTTTTCTCTTTGAGATGGATGCCTAGCACGCTGCGCTTCAAAGAGAAACTAATTTTGAACTCTGTGATCAAAAATGACGTTTAGTTTGTAATCACCAGTCACGCGTTCAAAATAGGTAATTTAAAAGAAGCTAAGATCGGTGATACTAGATTAACATCGCTATAAGAAGATCACGAATAGATCAGTTGCATAATAAAATAATACATTGAACATAAAATACTAACTTTATCTAAATTTGAATAAATAAAATTACCTAAAATATTTAACATAGTTTATTAACAACAAACAAAAAATTTTAAATAATTTTAAGACAACAATGCAATTTCATCTATGATGTTTCACAATTATTTCGTATGAATTTACTATAATTTCGTAGTTCTCCTACTTACACTATTTTAATAGTTATATTTTTTGTGACTTAGGAAATTTAGTTTGATCACATCTCTCAGTACATCGGTACTATTGCTTTTACCTGCCACTTTCCTTACCCATATACCTGCTCACACCATATCACACGTCAAGTATGTCAACCCAGGGATGCGGAAATAACAAAATGGGTACACTTTGTTATTTCCGTAATACGTTTGATGTTTCAAAAATATCGAAAATTCGAGATCATGAAAATGTTCAACAAAAACACTCGACTTCAATCTTGACAAAATTAAAACAAGATCAAAGCGTGACCATTTCATAAAAAAAATCAATGAAAACACAAAAATATTTTGGAATTAAAAACAACTCAGATCTGTTAGACGATATTAATGTAATTCACATTTTTTTGTAATGTAATACACAGTTTTTAATTCCAAAATATTTTTGTTATATGCGAATATTCAGGAATAATCAAATGTCTATCAAATAATATACATAATTCCATTTGATGCCCTTTTATGGTACTATCGAAACTTCATATATTAATTGAATACAGATGTATCTGTGGCTCAATATTGAGATAACAAAACTAAGCCTATATTTTACGTTTCATTAAATTACACACGAGGAATTTCTAATAAATAACAATGGGTAAGCAGTTTCGAGTATATCCAAAACAAATATATACTAGTATAAATTTATAATTTACTAGTTGTGCTCGTAGTTTCATCCGCGTTAAATTTCAATATAAAATATAGCCTATGTGTTATTATGATGCACAGTTTCATCAAAATCCGTTCAGTAATTTTTGCGTAAAAGAGTAACAAACATCCATACTTCAAAACTTTCGCATTTATAAAATTATTAAGATATTTGTCTACCCAGACGTTTAAATTTGAATCCAATATATTCATAAATTATAATGTTCGTGGTATATTTACAATCTGATTGATTTCAATTCGATTCGCATCAAACATCAGCCTCTTAAGCCTGTCTGAGGCAACCGTCTGATCACGCAGTGTAAGAATAATAGCGACAAAAGATACGAGTGCTGAACAGAATATATTTAGAAATTGACAGTTTGTATCAGAATACCGTATTTATACCTTTACGTCCATTAGATATAAAAAGTGCATTGAGATGTCACAGAAGTTTTCAATAGATATAATAAAAATGTGTCTAACTCATCGCTATCTGTATATGAAAGAAAAATATATGAGAAAAATTATTTATTTTATTTTACGCTATTAATGTACCTGAACCGAATACAAAGATTGTTAAAATTTTTGCTTGTTTCTTTGTGTGGTCGTGTGCGCTAATGTCAGAAATTGATTAACCGATTTGGATGCGGTTTCACCAACGTATTGTAGTAAATACTTGTATTAAAATTTAGTCTTTGTTTTATTCTAATCACAACACATACAAAAACGTTATACGTCGACATATAGCACGAAGTTGTGGGCTCGGTCGGTGGTCGGTTAGCACACTGCTTTAGCCCCGGTGGCAGTGAGTTCGATTTTCACGTAATACAAATATCAATAATCATGAGTATGGCTATTTGTTCATCTGATAATTATGATGTATATTATAAATGTTACAAAAAAAATAAATTCATGTATTAGTTTATTTGTGTCCATAAGTTTGCTTAGTTTAGGACTGGCGTCGTGTAATAGTCCTAGGTTGATAATAAATAACAATTAGTTTAGAATGTATTCTCAGTGACTACTAGTCTGCTCAATTATAGTAACTGTTTCTTAGACATATTATAATAGAAATTGTGTATTTAATTTACTTACCTAATTGAAACACTCTTGTTACTGAGGCTGCGGTTGCCAAGTTATCGAGTTTTTGGAGTTGTAAAAACATTAGTAGGGTGGTCTGGGTACAATGAAAGAAACTTCTTTCATCGCATCGCTGAACGCTTTATGTGTGGTCTGCTCACTTTTCCCGCTAGAACCATTTTGCAATATATATCTTTTTTGTTTTCAAATCTTTTGTTCTTTTATGAATGATTGTAGGATAACTAATTCTTATTCTTCAAAAGTAATTGTTACAATAATTGTATATCTCTATTTCATAAACAAAATAAAAACCGATTGAAAATACTTCTAACAAGCAATAAATGCTTCATCTATTAGATATTTAAAAATACATAATAACGAGTAGTAGAATCTATGTGATAAGATTTTGTGAAGGTGTAAAAATATGTATAACATATTTATTTCATGTGTGCTACATTTAAGATTGTGTTCAAAACACGGAATAAATAATGTGAATAATTAAATATAATTGATTATGTATTTATCTTTTTTATATCAATTCCTTAGATATGTTTACAAAATTTTATCAAATATCAAAGGAACTCAATTAGAGGGCCATTTTGGATTTAGCTATACCTACAGTATTAGCATATATTTTTTGCAAATCCTGAACTCTTGAAAGTTACATACTGCAGAAACGCGTCCCAATAGCATATGAAAAGGCCTTTATAGTTTTTTGTTAGCCAGATTTTACTTGGCACGGTTTATCGTCGCCATCTTATGGAAATCGGTCAAGCTGGTAAGATTTATCTACCTATTAGATTTTGTGTGTAACTTACATTTAACATTTAACTTACATTTATTTACATTAAAATAATGTTTTGTATGTGTGACAAGAACATGGTTGTTTCATATAATAATATATTGTATAAAACATCAATATAGACTTCAAATAAATAAACATATCATCACGACTGTCACGTCAGGTGGGGTAGCCAGAAACATTGTCAACTGTCGATGTTGTGGTGACCGCAAAACTTGACATGCCCAAATTTCGCTCTATAGGCATATCTTAAAAACAATACAGACTTTAAAATAAATTGAAGCTTAAAGTAAATTATGCGACTTTAGTTTGGATACTATTCGAATACCTAATGTTGACTTATAATAACGTA